AAAACTTCAAAATGAGATTTCTAACTTTATATATAAAATTATTATAGATTTGTTATGACTTTTTTATAATTTTTAAAAAAACCAATCTAAAAAAAAAATTACCAAACACACAACTATTTAAAAGCATTATATGGCTACATGAAAAACTCTCAATTGCAATCCCGAATGCACCCTAAGCCTTTTAGGTACAAGTTAAAGTATATGGAAAATAACTTTGGGACAGTTTTTTTTACTACTTTTTGATACAATCTAACATATCATTTAAATGATTGGTTCTTTTTATTTATATGAGACCTATAATGTTAAATACATCCACTCATTTAGTGACATGTGAAAATTGTATCAAAATGTGTTATAAAAAAATTATCCTTATAATACTGCCCAAAGTATATAATTAACCTCTTATCTTAATAAATTTGAAAATTTTAGTCTCTTATCTTATACTTTGAAATTTTTAATCTCTAAACTTAAAAGTTTAAAGATTTTAGCCTCAAAACTAATAAAATCCATTAACTCTCTATTAAAATGAGAATAAAATATTTTAAAATCAGTTCTCAAAGATTAAAAATATAACAATTTAAATCTAAAAGTTTAAAAATTAAAAAAAATTAATTAAAAATAATTAGTAGATGTCTTTGTCATATACATGAAAACAATATTAAATATCTAAAATAAAATCAAGTGATTAACTCAATCTAAAGAAAAAAATTTGACGAAAACTAAAAAAAAAATTTTAAATATATTCTTTTAGTCTTTTAAAATTTTTATTTTAATTTAGTTAAGAAATTTTCTTTAATCTTAGTAAGAATTCTTTTTTCATATTAAGTTAATCACTTGATTTTATTGTAAATATCTAATCTTATTCTCATATATGTGGCAAAAATATCCACTAATTATTTTCAATTTACTAATTTTTTCAAAATTTCAACTTTTAAAACTAAATTATTATATTTTTAATTTTTAAGAACTGACTTGTAAATATTTTATGATTACTTTAAGAGAGAGTTAAGGGATTTTGATGGTCAAGAAGCTAAAATTTTCAAACTTTTAAGTTTAAGGGTTAAAAACTTCATAATATAATATGAGAGACTAAAAACTTTAAACTTAATAAGATAAGAGGTTAAATGTATGGTTTAGCCCTGAATACAATACCAGCGAAGTATGTGCTAAAAGGACAAGAATTGAAATGGATGACAAACTATAAACCATCAGGTCAAAATTTGTTGTTAAAAAAAAAAGAGGAGGAAAACCATGTGTGTTGTACTGATGATCAGATAAATTACAATATGCTCTGCATGCAAAATCAGGTACCAAAAATTATTTGTTGTGATTATGACAGGATCCCAGTTTGCAGTCAAAGAAAGGTTTGCTTATATTTTAATTCGACCACAAAGACGCCAGTAAGCATTGGAATGAAAGAGAGACTTCTCAAAAACCCAGATTTCTCGGACAAGGACCTGAGGAAAGACGGGGAATCATAAGTTGGATGCAAAAAACCTGAAGAGAACTATAATGAGAAATAATCAAGATATTAGTACTTGCACAGCATGTGTTGAAAAAAAATTCCTGACCCTAAGCATGTATCTTCATTCCACAAGAAAAAGCCTTCTATATTCATTTAGCTGGTTCAAATAACAGTTCAAACTGGTCAATCTTAGTTCTTAGAAAATCTTCATACTTCAATAACCTTATATCCCAGATGGCAAAGCTAAAGTTTTCTTCGAGTATTAATTAATTATGAGATTTAAATTGCACTCAAGATTTCTAGAAGCTTCATGACTTCTCTTCCTCTGAAGAAGATTTCTAACAAACCAGGGAAGATGTTTCCAGGAATTAAATAGCTCCCTTTATAATGCAGTGACCAACTTGGACCAACCCAGAGAGGAAATGATACAGATCAGAAGAAACGAACTCTTAAGAGAAAAAGGAAACTAGCATGGTATTAATAGCAATACTGCCATTTACCTCTTTGGTTTTATCTCCAGCAATGACAACACCTTTTGAATCATATGCTTCAAACTTCTGCATAAACAACAGAGACATATATTGTCAAGTTAACAAAATAAAATAATATTACTAAATCAGGAAGGAAAACCAGCCCCTCCACCTGCACACCTCCTCAAAGGAAAAAGTATGTGTTTAAATGGAACAAATTTAAACCCCTGAAAACATCTCAATTCCTTATGGTTTTATACAATTACTAATAACAGCATGACAAAAATTGCAAATTAAGTAGTCTTCTTCTCTACCATATTTCACTCTTAGCACTGCACATAAGACAGTGATCCTTCATGAAGACTCAGCCAAGGAAGGAAATTTTGTTCAAAG